GAGCTCTCCTTTTCATGGACCCCTTGACTGGGATGGTGACAAAGCTCCCCTATTGCCATTCCCACGTTGTTCCCCATTCATACTGCGAGCACATGGCCATAGCGAAGCTGGCGTGTGCAAACCCCAGACCCAGTGGGCTTTACAGTGTGGCTGGGTCCTCTCTTATAGTAGGGATGGACATGGCTTTCATTGCTGTGTCCTATGGGATGATCCTTAAAACTGTCCTGGGGAAGAAATCGTGCTGGAAGGCCTTCAGCACCTGTGGGTGTCATATCTGCGTGATACTGCTGTTTTACGTCCCTGGGATAGTCTCCATATATGCACAGCAGTTCGGCAGTGGCATATCTGTGCATGCACAGGTTCTGCTGGCTGATCTCTACCTGACCCTCCCCACTGTGCTGAACCCCATCGTTTACAGCATGAGGACCAAGCAGATCCGTCAGGCAGTGCTCAAAATGCTATTTTCCAGGAAGGTTCATGCCTGACACAGTAGTCAATGGTTTTCCAGGTGTATTCATCTACGCAAAACCAGGACAAATTTCATTCCCATTGAATGCACACGGTGAACAGAAGCAATGAGAGGAGGGAGGGAGGACTCGTTGGCTTAAATGACCACATGAGACCCTACTCTGTGATGAGAGTTATTTGGGACTGGGATCCCAAATACCAGAGTCATATTTCCCTTCCTCCTTCCCAGGTGATACAAAGCAGCCACCTCCGGGTTTTGAGATGTTCCCGATGCCATGAACATCCCTGTGATAATTTAAAGCAACATTTCAGGGCTCCAGGTATATTTGTGTAAATACACAGATTCTATTCCAAATGGGGAAGTTTCTTCTGTGACGTCTTCTTTAGTCCCTGCTAGCAACAGGGGACGGTCACACATTGCAGGTGCTGTAGCCACAGAGGTTCTCCTTTCTGGGCCTCTCTTGCACAAAAGGCTGACCTCATTGAGCACGGACCAGCTTTTCTGGGTTTCTGGGTGATGACGGAAACTGAACATCTTCAAAACTGATCTCTTCAAAGCATTCTGTCCATCAGACAGTTCACACCAGCTGGGTGAGGAAACCAAAGCAGGGAGATGCACAATGGCATTTATCACTGTATCTAGGTGTCCATACCCTGTAGTGGTGGAAATAAACATTGAGTCTACTTGGAGATACTTACCAATGCTGTGTCTGCTTGTTGTAATGACCACAAGTCCATGAATAGCTAAATCTACCATGTCTTGGAGGCCTGAAGGATAGCATGCCGTAGGTCTGAGTGTCCTGAGGCCTGGCTAACTGTTGTTGCCCGTAGACCAGCTGCATCCCAGACTTTTCTGATCCCTCTCTGAGCCAGCCAGCTATGTCCAACCAGGATTCACAGGCTCTGTCGGGGGGCTGCAGCACCCAACCATGCTGAGACTTCCCCAGGTGCAGGAGCCTTCCTGTTCTGGAAGCTGGGATCCAGCTGGGAATGACCCAGACAGGTCAGGTCCCCCAGCAAGGGCAGGTTTTATCTGGAAGCTGTGGGCACAAGGAGCCATTCTGAGACTCTACAGCTTAGCATTAGCAGATGGAAAGTCCAGCTCTGACCTGGGATAAGGAGCTACTCTGCAGGCATTATTTTGAACTGGTACTGGAAGCTCGCTGGGAGAGGTGCAATTTCAGTGAACATGAAGATACATGTCAACAGCAACTACCCAAAGTACCAACACCAACAACTCATATCCCCATGCCTTGCCTTTCTTCAGTACCAAGAGGTTCAGAGGTTCAGCCGCTCACAAGGGTTTCTTCTCCTCGGAAATGGAGGATGCTCCAGTGGCAGAGGGATGCTCTGCACCCACTCCGCAGGGGTGCTCCTCCTGGGGCCAGGCTGGAGCCTTCTGAGACTGAGTAACACCTAAAGGACAAAGAGTCAGTGTTTTGGGACAAAAGCAGCAGGCTGGTGAGCATTTGCTGGGGTGTTTTGCCAGGGTTATGTGACAGGTGCCATTCGGGTGTTTAAGGGAGCGAGGAAATCGAGAGAATTCAGTAGAGGTGAGCGGCTGTGTCTCAGAGGTGCTCGCGGTCCTCTGCTTGGTGGGGGGAGTTGCATCCAGAGAGAGGAGCCATGACCCCACTTGGGTCCGAGGGTGGAGGAGGAGGAGAGGGATGACGTTGGGGATCTGTGTCCATTAACACAAGGATTCAGAAGAAAAGCATCGAGAGGTGGCATGTCTCCTCCAAGAGCAAAGGAGTGGGACAACTCTCATCCTCCTCAGACACATTCAGGGCAGGGGTCCACATGGTCACCACCATCTCCCTTACAGCCATGGCAATGAAAGGGGCAGGTGAAGCATAATTCTGCTGACCTATTTCAGATATTAGCTTCAGGTTGGGCTGAATACTGCCGTAAAGTCACTGTTTGTGTCCATGGATATGAAGGCAATCTGGAGGACCAGCTCCAGCCATAGACTGACACCCTCTCTACAACTGCCACCTGTGTTTGTTCAGATGAATCCCACCCAAAATGTCATGTTTAGTCCTCACTTCTACATTAATTGAAAAATTAAACTCAGTGAAATGCATTCAGTTTCAGAACTGGTTTGAATGTGTCATTCTCCAAGTCAAAAATATTTTCTTCTGTCTTTGTGGTGTTTATGTGACTTTCTGCTGCGCTCTTCCCTGACACCTTGAAAAAACAGTTGACAGAATGTTTCTGCTGGCCTGAATTTGCATTTTTTGCTATACTGAATTTGCACATTTCAGCCTTATGCTGCCTGGGGCTTGGGAAGGGGGTCTGGTGGGGGCGAGGACAGCTCATGGGTTGGCCCTTTGCACCGAGAGCCAGGAGAGACTTCCAGCTCCTCATTCAGCAGAGCCAGAAATGAAACTGCACTTGCCTTGCTCCAGGCAGAAACACAAAGAAGGTCTTTCATTCTGCTGGAGACAACTTGTGCAGCCTATTCCTGTCTCCCTTGGTCATCTCCTAGCACCTGACATTTGTAAAAGAAATTAGATGAGAGAGAATTGACTGGGGACTAAGGCTGTTACTGTCCGCCCCTTCGCTGAGGTTATTACAGAAGATGCCTGGAGAGGACTTGTGCTCTTGGGAGTCTCCATCCCGGAGCAGACTCCCAGTGGGATTGCCTGGGGTGATTTATGCACAGCCGTGCAGCTCTGCCCTCATGCACCGGAGCTGTTTCTTTCTTGGCATGAGCATCCCTGAGGGTGGCAGCTGTCTGCAAGCAGAGAGCAAGGTGGGTGGCTGCACGGGAGGACTGGCAGGAGTCAGGGCACGGCAGGCTGCTCCAGGTGCCTAAAGACGGGAGGCTGGTGGGACTTCAGCATCTGGCCTGTATGCATTCACAATGTGAGTCTGTTAGGAAAAAGGCAATTGCTGGAAAATTTATTTTAAAAGTAGTTTTTCAAAATTTTTAAGTTTCTTATTAAATGAAACTGCAGACCCAAGGCTGCAGAATTCTGATTTTTTAAAAGTATTTTTTAGGTAAAATAGGCCTTGAGTTTAAAAAAGTAAACAAACCATTGTGAAACCCTTTAACCAAAACCAGAAATTGTTTGCTGCAAAAGAGTAGGCTTGTTTCTCTTTGCATAAATTTATCAGTAATTAGCTAAATGCACATTTTCTGTAAAACAAACTAGATTTTCAACCACAGATAACGTTCTTAATCCCTTGGACACAACAGCAGGTATCTGACTGGAAAGCTACAGGCATGCCCCTGGGGGTTCTTGCCGACAGGCAGAATTTGGTGAAATAGGCTGGGTTATGTCACACGTGGTGCAGCTCGCCCGGGATCGGGTGGAGGGGTGAAGGAGGCGGGCAGCCCGTTGGTCCAGGGTCCCACCCAGCCCCACTGACCCAGCATCCTGACCCAGCTGGGAGACAAAGCTTTATGTTGGGGAGGTGTCCTGCATCCGTGGTGCAATTTGTGGAAGAGGAGCGAGCGCCCCAGGAGCGCACACCAGATCAGTTACAGGCTCAGGGCACGGTCTGGAGCTGGAGCTTTGCCTTTGATGCGAATGGGCGTCCCAAACACCGTGCTATCAGCCAGGCCAGGCAGCACTCGCCTTTGTGCCCCGTCCTGAAATGACCTTGCTGTATCTCCATAGCAGAGTATGTCTGAAGCATGCACTATGCTGCAGGGGGAATCCCCCACGGCCACTGGTGTCTGTGACGAGAAGGAAAGGGGTGCAAGGCGAGGAGAGCTCAGTGTGGCAGATGTGACAAAGCAGACATGAAATGTCACGGGAGAGCGCAGGGACCATTCCTTCAATCACAGGGTTCTGCATCCAGCACTAATTAACTGCGAGGAGTAAAGAGGAATTAAACTACAGGGAAAAAAAGTTGGCAGTGCCTAGGAACCGGTGGCAGTGATCTCAATGCATTTCAGCCTGCAGTACTGATTTTTCATTAAAGTTCCATTTTCCCAAAGCTGAGGGAACTTAAAGGCAGAGGGAATTTGGACAAGGAAACTGCAGAGTAAGTTAGGAGATGTTTTGAACAAGTTCAGCGAATGGCCAAGCCGGCTGCCCTGCACGCTTGCGGAAAGGACAGCTGTGGTTAGGAAAGCAAACGGAGCACTGAGAGCTGCAGCTAACGCACCACGGACAAAGTGAAATGGGGGAGCTGGTCAGGATCTGGTGGGAGTTACAAGCTGTTAAGTAGAGAAATCAGATAAAAGCAGATGAAGGCATCTGTCCCTCTGCATGGAGAAGAGAGGTCCACGCCTGCCTGAGAGAAAGGCGATCAGAGAACTTTATTTTTTAATGTAATTTAATTGATTGGTAGCTGAGAAGGATGTTAAACAGCTTCTGCTAAGAACAGAAAACAAATACAGCAGCAGGTCTGGGTAATTTACACGAGGGAAAAAGCTTCTCTGAGTTGGCCAAGGAGGTCCTTGGCCTCTTCTGCCAAACTTTATGAGTCCTGGCATGCTGCGGTGACTGCAGATGCTTCCTCGGGCCATTACTTTAGTGAGAAAGTACGATGATGTGATTAGCTGCAGATTGCTTAGCCTGACGTCAATGCCCAGCAGAATGCCCAAGAAGTTAACAGGAGATTTGGTCAATAAAGAATTAAAGGACTGGAATCAAATTAAATTATGGCAATCATGTGGCTTTGCAGGAAACAGCTCTTGTCAAACAAACCTGATTTCATTTTCTGATGAGATAGCAAGTTTAGTTAATCAATGTGGGCATGTGTGTGTGTTTGAGTACAGTACACAGAGTTATCTAAAAGAAATGTGCATCCACGACACTGTTTTCAGGTGAGGAGCTCACACAATGCAACATCTGTGAAGCATCAGCATTAAGAACGGGATGACTAAGAAACCTCAAAATGAAGCTGTCAGAACCATCATCACAAAAAGCTTGTGTTTCTGCAGGGATGCCACAGCGGTTGTCTCTAGACTAGAAGTTATTCTGTACGTCTGTAATCAGTTGTCCCCAAATCAGCACAAACTGTTTCAAATAATACTGGGGAAAGGCAAGTCATGCAGAGCAGTCCAGAGAGACTGGCAGACTTGGCCGTTCAAAGGAACTGCCTGCAAGAAGCTAAATACCGGGGTAAGGAGAGGCAGGTTTTCAGAGTGGAGCACTGTATCCTGGAGAACTGAGGATCTGGAAAGCAGCTGACAGCACACTGAAAGGGTAACACGGGGGCCCAAAGGGCTGGTGCGATTTTGGATGCATAAGAGGGAAATGGAAGAGGTTATATTTTTTCAAAAAGGATGTTGAAATCTTGGAGATGTGCAAGAAAACCCTCTCAATAAGACAGACAGTGGAACAAGTGAGTGGAGATGAGAAACTTGCAGGGCTCTAGGTCTTTAGTTTATCAAGAATAACTCCTTGGTCATGGAAGTACATACCTGCATGCAGTGAAGGTACTCCGCCATAAAGGGCTCTCTGGCCAAGCACAGGAAGGTAGAGGAGGATGCTGCGGCTGGGAGGAGCAGACAGGCAATGTCAAACGGGAAGAAAAGCACGTGGTTATAACCATGAGGATGATTAGCACTTGAGGCAAAAATCAAGGGATGGAGGTTCTCCATCTCTGGATGCCCGCAAGCCCTGACCACAGCATCAGTTTAAAAGCCTGGCTGTAGATAACAGGTTCTGAAAGTTTTTCTCCAAATAAATACGACAAAATTGTGTGATGCTTGAAAACTCATCATAAACAGTTTTATGATCAGACAGATGGCAGCCACATCCCAACCTTTCTGTCACTGTTACAGGGGACTGAAATTGGGAACAAAGGTGTGGCTTGGCCCACCTGTGCCATGTCAACCGCCAACCGATCCAACACCAACTCTTCGCCTTTTCTCCTGATGGGCATCCCTGGCCTGGAAGATCTCCATGTGTGGATTTCCATCCCATTCTGCTTTTCATACATCATGACCTTGCTGGGAAATAGCATGGTCCTTCTTGCTGTGAGGCTGGACAAAAGCCTCCATGAGCCTATGTACTATTTCATTTCCATGTTGGCTGTCATCGACCTCATCTTCTCAACTGCTGTAGTTCCCAAGATGCTGGGTGTATTCTGGTTGGATTCAAGGGAGATTGGTTTTGAGGCCTGCTTCATCCAGATGTTCTTCATCCACACATTCACTGCAGTGGAGTCAGGGGTGCTCCTGGCAATGTCCTTTGACCGGTATATAGCCATCTGCAACCCCCTGAGATACAACACCATCCTAACGAGCTCAAGGACCATCCAGATAGGACTGCTGTCTCTGGCCAGGGGAGCTGGTGTCATGACACCTTTAATGTGCCTCCTCACCAGCTTACCCTACTGCAAAACCAGAGTCATCCCTCATTCCTACTGCGAGCACATGGCCGTGGTGGAGCTGGCCTGCGCCGACCCATCTGTCAGCGATCTCTACAGCCTCATCGTGGCAACACTATTGGTGGGGACAGACTCTGTCTTCATCACCTTCTCCTATGGTATGATCCTGAGGTCTGTGATGAGGCTGCCATCCCAAGAGGCACGTCTCAAGGCCCTCAGGACCTGTGGGTCCCATGTTTCTATCATCCTGCTGTTTTACATAGGTGGCCTACTCTCCATGTACCTGCAGATGTTCTCTTTTGGCTTGGCTCCTCATGTCCAAGTCCTAGTGGCTGATTTCTATTTGACAGTCCCTCCCATGCTCAACCCCCTCATTTATGGCATAAAGATGAAGCAGATCCAGGAAGGGATCTTCAAACTATTGGGGCAGTTGGCAAGACTCAATATCTCACAAGCTGATAAAGACAGGTCAGATGGTGAGAGAAGGAGGCACTGCCAGAAAATAATTTATCCCATCCTAGAATAGGTGTGAAGTTAGGTGCAATGAATTATCCCCCAGAAATGTCCATCTCTCTGCAGTGACTAGAAGGGGAACCTAGACCAGATGCCTACTGCTGACATGGCAATAGTTTATTCACATGAAACCAACAGGCCAGTTCTGATGGGTGCTGGGCAACTGTCTCTTTGGCCAATGCACTCATGTTTTCCAAGATATCACTTGGAGACATTGCATCATGGTAGCTCTCTGATATCACTAGCAGCGTTTCAGCCCCTGTGGCACGTGGCTGAGGTGCCCCACAGACTGAGGTGCATCAGCCAGAGGACGGTTCAGTCCACCAAGCACCAGCGAGATGATACCACAGTGCTCAGTGCCTCAGGTCCCACGTGGAGGGGAGAAGAGGGTGCTCTGACCCCTTCCCTGCTCACAAGGGGTGGGAATGGCTCCCCCTGTGTCTCCTCCACCCATCCATGCAAGAGAAGTCTGCTCTCCACTTCTAATCAGAAGTCAGACCAGTGTATCTGAGAAACATCATGGCTACCAGGGAGAGGAATCTGATTTACTCAAAGGCCACAGTTAGACATTCACTGCAGCAGTCTCAGGCATCACCTCCCACACTTCTCTGTGCCTCTCCACTTGTATTGGGTTTGTGTGGCAAGGTTTTGGTAGCCGGGGGCTACAGGGGTGGCTTCTGTGAGAAGTTGCTGGAAGCTTCCCCCATGTCCAATAGAGCCGATGCCAGCCGGCTCCCAGACGGACCCACCCCTGGCCACAGCTGA